TATAATGTCTGTTTGGCTCGAGATGTGGTGAAGACTGACAATTCATTTGTGTCTTTTGTCAGAATACAAGTCTTCAAGTGGAGGAATGTGGGTGGAAGAGGACTGGCTGGCTGGCAGGCGTGACTACATGAGGGCGGGAAGACGTCGGGACAGCAGGGAGAGGCTAGCAAAGCGGGTGTTGCCAACCTCAGCGAAATATAAATTTTTTTATTTATAGTAATACCCCGCTTTACGCGATTCTACATTTACGCGGTACCTCGCCAGAACCGGATTTTCATTTTACGCGGTGCATCTATTCATATACGCAGTGTGTGTCTGGCGTGACGTTATTTTTAGATTCGACGCTCCCGCCTTCTCCCGCTTGGGCAAGCGGCGCGAGTAGGTTGCACAGTGTATGTCTCTGTTGCGTTATCGGTGACATCATATGACGTATCGGACTGTGATTGGGCCACCCATCCTTACCTCCTTCCGCCGTTAGCTGTGATTGATTTAAAGTAATATGATGTGTCAACCTGCGGGAGGGAGGAAAGACGACGCTTGACCTAGCCGCGTCAGTTGCATCCCTCCAAGCCACACCGTATAAACCAGTATCTATTGTTCTGTAAAATGGCTTCCGCCGGACCACCACCCCCAGAGAAAAACCTTGCATTACCTAGACCCAGCCGCCCTAAGCCAAAGAAGATACGACGTTCCCTAAGCTACGAACTGAAATACAAGAATATTCAAGAGTTGGAGAAAGGAAAACATCAAGCTGATCTCGCACGCCAGCATGGAGTCAACAAATCTACGATTCGTACTATTAAGAAGGATGCAGCCAAGATAAAAGAACACATGAGAATCACAAAACCTGTAGGTGCTTCAACGATCAAGTATTGCCAGAACAAGGTGCTGCTAAAGGTTGAAAATTTGCTGGCGAGTTACTCGATTCGTCAGGCGTGACGCAACATGGCGGTCAGCACGTGATTCGTTCAAGAGTACGCCCGTGAACTGTACGCAGCAGTGTCACATAAGTTGGGAATTGCAGAGCCCAAACCCTTCAATGCTTCCTCTGGGTGGCTGCATAGGTTTAAGAAGAGGAACAAGATCACTAACATTGGTGGTGAAGAAGCGAGTGCTGACCGTGTGGCGGCTAGAGACTTTCCTCCGTTCTTAGTGAGGTTATGGAGGAAGGACAGTACACCGACGACCAGGTGTTCAGCATGGACGAATCCGGTCTATTATGGTAAAAGCTACCTACCAAGACCTTCATTGTCCAGTCTGCCAGCAAGATTCGGGGCCGGAAGTTGCAGAAGGAGCGCATCACCGTCCTCTTTACCACCAATGCCTCCAGTACCTGTAAACTCAAGTTATCGGTGATCCACACAGCCCGCAAGCCGCATGCCTACAAGAACGTGGACATGAACAAGATTAATGTCCACTGGCTGACCGCACGTAAGGCGTGGATTTTCTCTGCTCTGTCACTCTCCTGGTTTGATGACTGTTTCGTTCCTGACGTGAAGAAATTCTGCGAGCAACAGAATGTTCCATTCAACATTCTGTTGCTCCTTGACAACGCACCAGGACACTCGCCACTACTTATGGATCGTCACCCCAACGTAAAAGTGGTCTTCCTTCCCCCCAACACTACGTCATTAATCCAGCCCATGGACCAGGAGTTGATATGCAATGTGAAAGCTGCATACTCTGCAAAGAAGTTTAAGCTCCTGAACGACTGTACTAACACCAAGAATGAGTTGCGTAAGCTGGGTGACACCGAAAGCGAGAGCAAAAGCGACGAGGATAAGGAACAACAGGTGGTGAATCAAGAAGTTCTTTTCAAACAGTTTTGGAAAAAATTTAACGTCAAACAAGCTGTGGACTTCTTGGTGGAGGCATGGGATCAGCTGTCTGTAGCTACGATTCATCATGCACGGAGGCATGTGTTGCATGGTATCCCAGGTGAGAGGCAGAGTCAACCTGTGACTGGTGAGGTTCAGTCTGTTACAGTGGCATTGGACCTTGCAAGAGAAGCTGTGCACAGTATTACAGCTGAAGGCTTCTCTGAGACCACCAACACAGACATCCTGGAGGCTATCCGAGATCCTGAAATGACTGCCGACAAGATGTTGGAAGATGATCACGTCAGTCAAGAGGCAAGTGGTGCGTCAACCCCAGAAGAACACAAGTTAACGCAGAGTAATGTTAAGGGTGCCATCGAGTGTGCAGAGAAACTGAAGCTCTTCCTTTCCAACGACCATGATGATGATCGCTATGAAGTCTTCCATACCCAGCTGTTGCAGGCTATGGAGCCGTACATCAAGGTGTATCACGACAACATCAACACTAGCTGTCAATAAGCATTACCGAGTTCTTCGCCCGCAACCCACTACAGCCAGCCCGAGCCAGTGATAGTGACAGTGAAGGTGACGGAGGGATTTGTCAGGGAGGCCCTGACAACTATGGTGGATAGTGATGGTGATTCCCCTGAGGGCCAGTAATCTGCCCTCTGCCTCGGAACCAGGCTCCATCACTGTATGCTGACCCATCTCTTCTACTGACGTAAGTGTTAAACCTAACCTTTATTTTTCCTAACCTAACCTTATGTAAGTGTTAAACCTGAACAACACCATACTGCTTCCTTATGGTACAGTACTGAACAACACTATGCTGCCTCCTTATGGTACAGTACTGAACAACACTATGCTGCCTCCTTATGGTACAGTACCGTATATCTCGGCCTACAAGGCGACGGGGTGTATAAGACGGCCCCCAAAATTTCCATTTAAAAAGTAGCTTTTGAGCCCTATTCGCTGTATAAGACCGGTACCCCAAATGTGACACTTACCATTGGGAGCTTACTGACCCAGTAGTCCTTTACCAACCATCCCATTGACCAGTGCTGTTTACACATCCTTGGTTTTTTAAAATAAAGCCAATTCACTTCAAGTAATGGCATCAAATTTTACTGGTTGGTGTAGTGTAAACACTAGTGACTCACTTAAAAGTTTGTTATTTAACTTGAACTAATGTCGGTGTCGAATACAATTGTTTCATTTACTTAAAATGGATTTACCGATTTATTTGTTTATTTATATCATACTGTAATATATTAAACACACTGGAAGTATTTTCTTTAATTTATAAGCTTGCTTCAGCGAGCTACAGTATTCTAATTCAATAGTGTTTCATTAGGATTTGAGTGAAAAAGATTACTGTACATACTTACTACATACATTTATTACACAAATATATATATATATATATATATATATGTGTAATAAATGTATGTAGTAAGTATGTACAGTAATCTTTTTCACTCTATATATATATATATATATATATATATATATATATATATATATATATATATATATATATATATATATATATATATATATATATATATATATATCACAATATTTTATAATTGCAGTCATGTACTGAATATTCTATGTAAAAAATATAAATTTTAAATGAATTATTTCTAGTGTGGTCGACTTCCTACACAAAGACAGGCTATAAATAGCCGTCTTATCTCCCCTCTGTTCTGAGAGAGAAGGTCTTGGTAAATAAATTTTGTTTGTTTATTTTCATTGTTTGTCTAATTTATCATGTTGTATCAAAGTAATATTACTAAAAGTTTTAGGCAGCTACCAAACAGGGAGATACTACCGCCTGGGAAGATATTGGAAGCACAATGTACAGTACAGTATTGTCTAATGGTAGACCCTACTTCCATATGGCATCACGAAAATTGTGACCAAGTCTTATGTTGCTGATCTATCTTTCTGCCTCATTTACACACAATTGCTGAGTTTCAATTGTTTCTCTTCCTTTGACAACACAACATACATACAATATAATGTTTCACCTTTGATCTTTTTTCCATTTATTTATGGTTGGTTATTTAAAATAATGCTAATTCACTTCAAGTATTGGCATCAAATTTTACCCGCTGGTATACACTAGTGACTCACTTAAGCGTCAGTTATTTAACTGGAACTAATGTTGGTGTGAGTAAAATATTTCCATTTACTTGAAATAGATTTGCCGATTTATTTGTTTATTTATTTAGCTATAATATATTGTAATACATTAAACACACTGCAAGTATTTTCTTTAATTATATACTTGTTTCGCGAAAAAGGAAGGCTACCATTATACCTGGTAGGTGAAGTTGACCAGACATTTATGATCATTAAGGACCAAACTCCGAATCCATGACGTGACTTCTGTTCATCATTCTCATCCTAAATTTACCACTGTCGGTAGTTTCAAGAATTAACGCAGTCATTTACTGAATATTCTTTGTAAAAAAATTAATTTTAAATTAATTATTTATAGGAGATAAGTATTATGATCAGTAAATATACAGATATGCATTACTGACCACCTCCGAACACAAGGACGGCTAAAAATAGCCACAGGCGGTCACTGTCAAGGTCGCTTTCCCTTTCTCGTCACTGGCAAATGGGGGGGGGGGGTGATGATAGCAGCTGTGTTTATTACCGGGGTATATTGTTGTTTTACGGTATGTTAGACTGGTTTATAATACATTTTTATTATTTTAATATACCGGTAATCTTCATTTTAATCCAGCTTCCCAAATGTAAGTTTCAGTATAAAATAATTAGTGGTAGGACCTTGTGAGTGGTTTACCATGTTTCCATCACCACTCTTGACACGCTAAACCGCAAAATTTAAGAGGTAAGAATTTTATCTCTGGTGCTTAAGACGACCCCCTAACTTTGGGCTGATTTTTTTTTGTTCAAATTCCGTCTTGTAGGCCGAGATATACAGTACTGAACAACACTATGCTGCCTCCTTATGGTACAGTACTGAACAACACTATGCTGCCTCCTTATGGTACAGTACTGAACAACACTATGCTGCCTCCTTATGGTACAGTACTGAACAACACTATGCTGCCTCCTTATGGTACAGTACTGAACATACAGTACTGAACAACACTATGCTGCCTCCTTATGGTACAGTACTGACCACTACAAAAGGTTATTTACCCATTCTGAATTGCTGTGCGAGGATCCTTACTCGACTTGACCCCAACCATGATGAGCGCCATGAAGAAGAAGAATAAGGACATTGCAAAGCATAAACGGTACACTGCCAAGTAGCCAACCACCTGAAATATTAAGAGAGAAAATTATTGCTCACTTCATAGATAATCTTTAAAGTATTACTGTATTTACATCTGATATCACCTAATACCAATATACAGTGATAACTCCATTAGCCGGAACAATTGGTGCGGAGGACATCCGGGAATGAGAGATTTCTGGGTTACGAGACGACTCTCTAAAAGCAGGAAAAAAAAAAACCCCATCCCCAGAACTTTCCAGGTTACGAAAAAATATTCTTGGAAGTTCCAGAAATTGCCCATTACGCTATCTATTGAACCGGGAAAAATATCCCATATTCTCAAAAAAATTTTGAGTACTGTACCAGAAAATTGTTCTTGGGAGTTTCTGGAAAATGCACCCGATTTTTCATCTCTCAAAACCGGAAAACTCCCCCAACCCCGTAATCTTTTGGAAAATGTGCCCCTTGGAAAATCGTTCCCAAGGCCGGAATTTTCCAAAAAATTACGGCTTTGGGAACGATTTTCCGAGAAAATTTCTATTCCGGCTATCGGAGAGTTCCGGGTTTGAGGGATACCGGCTAACAGAGATATTACTGTCCTCTACATTATACAAAGTTCATATCCAGCATCCTACACTAAGGAACAATCATTTCTTTTTTTTTTTCATTAAAAAATTTAGGCACTTGATCTAACTTTTACATATACAGTGGTCCCTCGGTTAACGAGTGCCTCGGTTAGCGATTTACCTTCCATAAGATTCTTAACTTCGGTTAACGAGCAATCCTTCGATTGACGAGTTTTTTACAAGCCGACCTCAACATGTTTTCGCTTGCATTTGGCGGTCCACCAGCTGTAGTATTAGTCCGCCAATACAGTAATCGGTTTTAGGGCTTAAATTCCTTACTATTTTAGTAAATATCAAGAAGTTTATACTATTCAATAATTTTAAAAGTTTAATATTAATTTTTTTAGTCATTTTAACAATTATTGAACATAAATGAAGGTAAAGAAACTAGTTTCTGGGGTGCCATCCAACCTGTTAACACACAAACAGGCGTTAGTCTCTCTGTTTTCAGGGGAGGTAACATAATGCTTGAGACTCTCTTCAACTAAACCCTTTTTTCTGTGTTTCCAAGCAAATTATTGGTCATTTTGAAATTTATTTTACATATTGACAATATATAATGCAGTGCAGTGTTGATTTAAAGAAAATAATCTTGAACTACACCAAGAGAACTAAAATTTTATGGGTGAAATAGCACCATGGGGTGACTTCTTTTCCACCCCAATGCCTTCTCTTCTCCCTTCTCCTCCACCCCCATTCTAATTCCCATCATCATCATCATCCAGGAGCCTTCTACATACACACCTCAAAGTAAATGTACTTTTCTACCTTTTTTGTTGAATTTAGGCAATTTTCGGTGGGCTGGAACCAATTACCCAAAAACCCATTGAAACAATGGTTTCGGTTAACGAGTTTTTCGGTTAACGAGCAACCTGCTGGAACAGATTGTGCTCGTTAACCGAGGGACCACTGTACCTGTGCAGTACGTAGTTAAGTCATTTTATATATAAAACTATAGGTACAGTTGCCAGCAAAAGTCCTCCCACAAACTTGCTACACAGGGCTGTGGGAGAACTTTTGCTGGCAACTGTATATTGCTCATCTGAGATACAATTTTTTTTATGTGGACATTAATTATATGTATCTACTATGACTACCTGTACAAGTAAAGCAGGAAATAAATTTAATCAATACCTACCCCAGTACAGTCCAGTTTCACAGCGTCGGTCATATCTCCATCCCCATCACCACAGAACGGCACCTGTTAGGGAATACTGGACTCGGTATCATTTTGTTTACCCAACACTATACTCCATGTGGGAGGTAATGAAAATGTATGTGGTAAATGATGAGTTGGTGAATGCCACTCAAGAGCATTTATAAGTAAGAGAGAAAATGGTTCCCTTTGAGATAAAACTACTACATTGATCAAGGAAGTACAGTATCATGTTCTTATGGATGTCAATATTTTTAAAGGGGTGGGGTGAATGAGAGGTAAATGTTAGACAGGAGAAAATTTAATTTACAGGAATATGAGAAGAGAGTGAACTGTTGCTTGCTGATGACACACTGGAAGATGATTCGGGAAAGAAGTTGCAAATGTTACTGAATGAGTTTGAAAGTGTGTTCCAAGATACAGTTGAAACTATATGTGAATAAGAGATAAAAATAAGTATAGAAGGAAGACAGGGAGGAATAAATGTGTCAATTACAGTTGAGGTGTCTCAGATATCTAGGAGCAGACATATCAGCATGGGAAAAAACAAGTGAAAGTGAAAGGTTGAATCATGGAGTTGCACGAACAAAGAAAATTACTGTATGTAATAGGAGTACAGTACTGAGAAATGCATGAAACAAAGAAAATAACAACAAAGGAAGCAAAGATGAGGACACATATATGAAATCTTGAGACCAACACTACTGTTTGGGTGTAAAACATGGACTGGATGCAGGAGGAAGCAGCAAATATGAAGCAAGAGATGTGATGTGCACGGTAGGAATGTGTAAAGTTCATTGGAAACAATAGGAGATAAAGAATTAAGGAGATGTGTAAGTTAGTGGAATGTTGTACTGACAGCTGATGAAGGTCTTTTAAGGTGATACAGACACAAGGAGAGGGAATGAGGTGTATGAAAGATTGGTAAAATAAGTGTTTAATTTAGCAGTGGATAGTATGAGGGTAAGGTTGCAACCATGATGATGGAAGAATATGGTGAAAGCCACACCAGACATGAAAGTATGGACATCGAGGAAGCAGCAGTGTGCTAAACTGGATGGATATGCTACTGGTGTGTGAAACAAACATGATAAATAAATTAGATATCTTTGGGGCACACTGTTGAAATCATTAAAACAAAACATCTGTTACAGCAGAGTAAAGCAATGAAAGTAAGCGCGGAAAGAGTTGATGTTTATTCTTACTCAATAGAATGCAGCTTTATGCAATTAGATACAGTAGTTTTCTTCATAAATTTTCACAGGAGGGGGATACTTAAGGACCCTCTACTTAATCCACACACAATACCCCCCCGTTAAAATTGTTCAATACTGCTCTTAAATCCAACCACCTTGTATTGTAACACAAAAGGTTTTGCAAGAGTAAAAATGAGTTCCTAAACACTGGATAAGTAGGTTAGATGTGTTTAAAGTTAAAGCAATAAATGACATTATACATCGAGGTTTACATTCAGTGTCATCAGTTACGAAAATACAGTAGCCACTGCCTAATTTTTAACTTCATGGTACAGTACCAGGGCTAGCTCAAGGTTCCAACAAGCTGGGTGGTTGCCCAGGGCACCAAAACATGGAGGGGAAGAAATTAAATAAATGAACAAAATTGAAAATGTGAAAATTGTTGGATATGTAGTCTAATTGTTCAGGACCATTTGACTGTTAACTTCTTACTGTTGTGGTAAGAAACAAAGAAGTGTGATGGCTGTCACAGGTATGTGTGTGCATGTATGTAGGTCTTAAAATATAACCGGAGCTGAACGGCTTGGAACATAGGTACAGTATAGTGGTGATTTGTGAAATACTTCGCATATACCGTGTTTATTTATTTGCAAAACATAGCATAGCATTAGTATAGTACAGTTTGGGCAGTGAAATATTTTTTTTACCTTCTTAAGAGAATTTTCCAGTCCTGGAGAGAGCATAATACAGGCCACAATCGTCCCCATCAGCATCATGACAGCATACATAATGCGTGTGGAGGTGGAGTTTTTACATGATGGACAAGCTGAACAGCACAAGCTGCATGCAGCTGATCCACAGCAGCAAGCCAGCTGTAAATAAGAAAATTATATTATTCATGTGCAAAACAGCTGAGTTTTGAAATAAATTTCAACATTCAGATAAAAATAAATAATTTTTGTTTTACTTCCATTATTAAAATGAAATACCCAATTTACACAGCCTAGTGAGGAAAAAACTTGTGTGTACAGTACACTATATTTTTATACTGTATGCCAAAACCTAAGTCTGGAACCCAGGGAAACCTACACTTGGTGGCTAAAAATTCATCCAAATATTAGCCATCTCACAAGGTATCCATTACCCTCAGAGGTCACAGCCAACACTAAAGGTACATGAAACCACTGCGATGTTCCCTCCTCAGCTGACAGAACAGTCATAAACAGCCCCACAGTCCCAACTTCACATTCATCACCCTTGAGGTCATCCTAGGGAGGCACGCAAGACCAAAGCTCTCCCATTAACTCATTTATTCTTTGCATAAAAATCAAAGGAGTTAGTAAAACAAATCTTTATCAAAAGCTTACCTTCTTTAACCAATGGCCGAGCAAGTGATAATATTTGTGTTATTCATGTTTTTGGGGTTTAATAAGTGATTCTCTTCTGGTTTTCAGTGTTTAGGTCATGAAGGAAGTCTCAATACATCTAGATTAAATTTTTGTGCATGCTTAAGTCTTCCAAGAGATTTGAATTCTACTTGATTGGTTGAAGCAGATAATGTGAAACTCATGTTAGAGATTTTAACATAAAATCCCATAAAAATGTGTTTAGTGAAGTTAAAATCCATCAATAAAGTTTGGTCCTGTCTAGATCGCATCCAGGAAATGCAAACACGTTTGTTTGTGTTCATAACCAGGTTCACTGATCCAACTTTTGCATGTACTTTATATAAATAAGGTAAACTTTTGGATAAAATCGGTGTTTTTTTGTGTTTCCACCTCTCATTTTCCCTCGTCCTCAAAGACCTGCCCACTTTGAATGATTAACTGTCATTAACTAGTGTTAAAGGAGTAATATCTCCTTAAATACAGTATGCATTCCCATAGGAATAAAGGTAAATTTGTTTAGAACAGGTAAAAAAAAATACGCAAGAAAACATATTTTAGTAATTAATCAGTATTGCAAAGATAGGCATACAGTACTGTACTTGCTATTGCATTATCCTACTGCGTCTGTTAATAAAGGAAAGCTTTTGAAAAGCTGGTACCACACGTGACATTGCGTACGGCTCAAACAATCCTCCCCATAAGCCCATTGCAACATTTGAAAAGTTTCCTTAAAAGTTTTTCCCAATTTAAAACAGAATTTCACACAAACACGTTGCTCTTCAAGATCCTTTATTGTTCAACTTGCAACAAATCGCCAAGAGCACTAAACACACATTCACTCTAGCGCATGTAGCTCGATGACTAATTGAAGACGCTCTATCAAACTTACAGCTGCAGTCATAGGTAGTACAAAGGTGGCCTCTTTAGACCCCAAATGCCATATTCAGGTAAGTTTTAAGAGTGTTTTTTATGGGCCAAGTCATTTTGTAACTGAAGAAATGCACCGTGAAGAGTCGCTTCAAACATAGATTGGATGGATATAGGAGCGATAGGGGTTGGGTTTAAATGGGACTGCCAAGTATGGGCCAATAGGCCCACTGCAGTTTCCTCCATTCTTATGGACATAAAAAACTCTCATGTTCATACCAGCTCAGCTGTCATGGAGCTCCGAGTCAATTTAGAAGTACTGTAATGACATAGTCTGGACTTTGTTTTGATAATGCCCGATGCTAGGTAAACACGACAACAGTGCTGTTATAGTTTTGATGATTCACTAATGAACCACTGGGATAGAACATCATTTATATTAATTAATGGGTAAAATTTTACTTTAACTACCATAAGTATTTGGACGCTTAGATTCGCGATACGCTATATTGGGTAAATTTTAAGTTTTGGTCATCCCTGTATTTACGAACGATTTAGACCTTCAATTCTATCGGAAAACACTGGTTTTGAGTTACCACCCCCCCCCCTTACCGGTGTATGTTAAGCTAACCTTATAACTCATCATACCCTGTCTTTCTGCCTCATTTACACACAATTGTAGGGCCTCAACTGTCTCTCTTACTATTGACAACACCACAACTAAAACCGTACTCATTCTTGATCCGTTTTATTCATTCTATTTTATTCTCCTGTCAGTTGATATTAATACTGAAGCAGGGCCTTCTCGGATGGGTCCCACTGGTCAGGAAGGTTGTGGACCCCAGGGCCGACCTGATCATCATCAAGCTACTGGGGCCTCAACTGACGCCACTACGGTTGCTGGAGGATCGGCTTTTTTCACACTTCATTTTTCCAACATTCGCGGACAGAGATCCAATTTTTCTTCTGTGGAGCACCATCTATTAACCTCTTACTACTCTCCAAACTTCAACTGACCAAAGCAGCTTCACCCAAACCTTTTCATGTCTCTAACTACAACCTTTATACCTACTTCCGTTCTAAGGGAGGTGTATGCGCCTACTGCAATACACGTACACCTATAGACCGACTCATGGATCTTGAGTCTCCCCTTTATGATGTCATCTGGCTCAAAATATCTCTACCTACTGTGACTTATTTTTCTTTGTTTCCTATACTGTTCTCCCAACTCTACCAACTATTTCGAACTCTTTGACTATCTCGCTTCTTGCCATGAGTCGTTGCTATCCACACACCCCTACAACGAGATCCTCTACCTTGGGGATTTCAATGTACATCACAGAGAGTGGCTTGGCTCGGCAAGGGATGACCCAGGTGGAGCTGAGGCACTCTCTTTTTCCTTACTTAATGATTTGGAACAAATAATCAAACACCCTACACGCGTTCCTGATCGACACGATCAACTTGCTAACATTCTTGATCTCTGTTTTACCTCTAACCCCTCACACTATTCATACTCAAATTTTGCCCCCTTAGGGTCTTCTGATCACAACCTTATTTCTATTAAATCAAACTGGGCACGACCACCTCCCCCACCCCCCTCTAAACGTCAACTATGGCACTATCGGAGGGCAAGCTGGCAATCCTTGAGAGAATTCTTCACCGACTTTCCTTGGGATGAATGTTGCTTTTCCATTCGGGATGCCTCAGTATGTGCTGACAGCATTGCTGGGGTTATACAGGGCGGTATGAGTGCATTTATCCCATCTTCTACCAAAACTTTCACATTACAATCATGGTTTGATTGCTCCTGCTCTCTTGCTTGCAGGGTGAGAGATAGGGCATATCGAGCTATGAAACCATCTCCTTCTCCTATTACCCACACCTCTTTCATTACTTCTAGGAATCGTTGTAAGGCTATTCTTCGTAGGGCCAAGCGGAATTTTATTAAAAGAAAGACCGCTGTCCTGACTAATTCTTCCTCTAGTAAATCCTTCTGGTCCTTAGCCAAAAACATCTGTAACAACTTCTGCATGCCTTCTTTTCCTCCCCTCTTCTGTCCCAATAACTCTATAGCCAATTCTCCCCCTGAGAAAGCCAACCTCTTTGGCACCTTATTCTCCTCTAATTCCACCTTAGACGATTCCCACTCTACCCCTCCTATTGAACCTATGCACTTTCCTAAAACCTCCACTCGCAGGGTTGCTGGTGTGTTATCCAGGTTGGATGTGAGTAAGGCGCATGGACCGGACGGAATACCCCCTCGTGTTCTGAGGGAGTGTGCTGAGGCCCTGGCCACTGTGATTGCTCGCCTCTTTCGCCTTTGCCTCAAAACCAAAACTTTTCCTTCTTCTTGGAAGCATGCCTTGGTTCAACCCATCCCAAAGAAGGGTGACCATTCTAATCCCTCTAACTATCACCCCATTGCCCTAACTTCATCCCTCTCTAAGATTTTCGAAACTATCTTGAACTCCCATTTTCTCCGTCACCTTGAACGCCTTTCTCTTTTGTCGGATCACCAGTATGGCTTTCGCCAGGCGAGATCTACTGGTGATCTGCTCTCCTATTGCACCCATCTTTCGTCATCCTCTCTTAGGGATTATGGGGAAACTTTTGTCGTGGCCCTCAACATCTCCAAAGCATTTGACAGGGTATGGCACAAGTCTTTGCTATCTAAACTTCCCTCTTTTGGTTTCTCTCCCTCACTTTGTTCTCTCATCTCTAGCTTCCTTGAGAATCGATCCATGGCAGTTGTTGTTGTGGGATCGATTTCTCGCTCTTTCTCTACCAATAGTGGCGTCCCACAGAATTCTGTTCTTTCACCAACTCTCTCTTCTTTTTATCAATGATTTACTTCACACTACAACTAATTCTATCCATTCTTACGCCAATGATTCTACTCTTCACTCTTCCTCACATTTTCCCCTTCCTCCAACTCTCAAACTAGATCTGTTTCTAGAACTGATATCATTACTTCTATCAACGCGGATCTGTGCAGCATCTCTGAATGGGGAGATACAAACTTGGTTAAGTTCAATAGTAACAAAACACAATATTTACCAATTACACTTTGTAAAGTAGACGATCTCCCACCAATTACATTTCAGGACGCTATCATTCTCCCAAATTCTGAAATATATATGTTAGGCCTCACCATTTCCTCCAATATGTCCTGGAATTCACACATCCTTAGTATAACTAAAGCTGCCTCCCGGAAGTTGGGAATGCTGTACAGATGCCGCAGCTACTTCACTCCTGAGCAGTTGCTCCAAGTATATAAGGGATTCATTCGTCCTAACTTGGAGTAATGCTCTCATATCTGGGGTGGCTCTTCTTCTGTCCAACTATTAGATAGGGTAGAATCAAAGGCATTTCGTCTTATTAACTCTCCTCCTTTAGTCGACAATCTCTCTCCCCTTTCTCTTCGCCGCAATGTTGCTTCACTCTCTCTCTTTTACAGGTACTTTAACGGACAATGTTCAGTGGATTTGGCATCCTGTGTACCGCCGGCAAGGCCGTGGGTTCGTAACACACGTCTTGCCCGCGGTGCCCACCATTTCTCTGTGGATGTCGGTCACACGAGAATAACCCGTTATAGTACCTCCTTCTTTCCTCACACAGCCAAACTGTGGAATGCTCTGCCTTCTTCTGTGTTTCCATGCTCTTACAATCTGTCTCACTTTAAAAAGCTGGTTTTCCGGCATCTTCGTGGTGTAGATTAATACAGTATAACCTTTTTTCTATATTTTCAATTTCTTTCCGTTCTTTTTTTTTTTTGCCCCCCAGGCTCCGTTGTGGGTCATTTGACCTGTGCCCGGGTGGGCTAATTCCCGTAAAAAAACAAAACAAAAAAAACTAACCTAACTTAACCTATGACCTGTTTTGAGTTACTACCCCCCCTTACCGGTGTATGTTAAGTTAACCTTATAACTCCTCATACACTAACCTAACTTAACCTATGACCTGTTTTGAGTTACTACCTGCCCTTACCGATGTATGTTAAGTTAACCTTATAACTCATCATCACCTAACCTAACATATGACCTGTTTTGAGTTACCACCCCCCCTTACCGGTGTATGTTAAGCTAACCTTATAACTCATCATACCCTAACCTAACCTAACATATGACCTGTTTTGAGTTACCACCCCCCCTTACCGGTGTATGTTAAGTTAACCTTATAACTCATCATACCCTAACCTAACATATGACCTGTTTTGAGTTACCACCCCCCCTTACCGGTGTATGTTAAGCTAACCTTATAACTCATCATACCCTAACCTAACCTAACACATGACCTGTGTTTTCTTATGCGATCGAAAAATGTTTTACAACAGATATCCCGTAGAGCTAATTTGTCTTATTGTTTAAAGTAATTAAGGTTCCCAGATGACCAAAACCAAAATAATATCAATATTGTTTGGAATGTTTATACTATGAAATTTGTAGTATGGGAAGCTAATATCCATTAAATTAGTTAATGTGCTTAGTAATATTTATATATTCAATATAGCATTACTGTGTTGTACAGTAAAGCACACTTAATTATCTAATTATATTTATTTACAGAACCGATCAGCCGAGATGGTTGGACAACTACTTCCAGGGTTCATCAAGGCAGATGAAACATATTTACCAAAAGTAGATGTCTTTATGATAGAGTATTATCAAGAACTCCGCCAACCAGCTATGAAGCACATTAAATTACATCTGTCATCTGATCATCTCCAGCCCATTCCCTAGCCATGGTCGTCCATAGTCCTTTCACAACATTAAATATAGACATCAGTGTCGGGAACTTTCATTTTTCCAACATGAAATAGAGAACATTGATGAAAACTTCCATGTTGGAGTTATTTGTCTTTTGCATCATTTTGGCACCCAGCAAGTAAACACACACGATGATACTTGGGCAGTAATTTATTTTAACCTGAAAATAAGGTATGACTGAGTATATCATCATTGTATATGGCCAAAAGTCCTTTATTCCTGCTGGTAACAACACATACACCACAGCTGGCTGGGCGGCTCGCACCAACCAGTGACGTCACAAACAATCACAGAGCTTTTTGCAGTCACGTGAATTTTTATTAATTTTAACCCCCCTTTTTTTACGCTTTTTGGTCGAATAGATTTTAAAATATCATTACCATAGCGAGTTTAAGCATTTTCTTTACCCAGTGACCTGCCATCTTACGAAAAAATTACGACTTTCAACTCGTCCATTGTCACAATTACTGATCACACCATTAAAATTCCCGAGATTTGTTTAGTGGCAACAAGGGAAATAATACCAAAATTTTGGGGTAATATTTGGTCATGCACCTATTTGGAAGTACGTCGGAATCGTTCAAAACACAAAAACACATTGAAAAACCACAATTTCAATCCAACCTAACCTAACCTAAACTTATAATCTTAAAAATTAATGTATGACCGCAGCAATACAAATAGCAATTTTAGATTTTGGATGCATAGTTCCACAAAGGGTATTAGTTAAGTTTGGGACCATTATTAGGTACAATTATTTTGATGTGTTTTTTAGGTCTAACTCGTCAAATTAGACAACATTTCTTGGTATTTTAATTTAGGACATAGAGCACCTTAGAGTTATAAACTACTGAAACATTTAGATCTCGCTATTCTGAGCATTTTGAACCCCATTTATACATGACGGAAATGGATAATAGCGACAATTGAATTTAACTGATTTTACGTAGTTTTCAGCCTTCGTGTCTGTGAAGAGATGTTAACGACACATCACGCATGCGCAATATTGACTGACGCCATCTGGTCGTAACCAATGATGTATCGGTATCATTTTTTTCGACCAATCACATTTAATTTTTTTTTCAAAGGAAGCAGCCTGGGTAATTTCGCTGACCAGCCTTACAATGGCCATGGTGGAAGTTGGTTCTCATTTGTGCTCCTACGATTATTTTCAGTTTATTGCCGAGTTTTACGAGAAAAACGATTATTCTATCCAATTCTTACGTATCCCTGGTCCTTCCACTTCTAACTAGGGTATATTGTACTTTCGGACATGGTGTGCCCCAAGTTTTTAACTACTGAAACTTTCAGGTTAGTTTAAGCTAGGCCTACCGGGGGTCTAGGGGAGGAGCCCCCGGCTAGGGGTTAGGTTAGGTTAGGTGACTCGTTTTCGTTTTCTCCCCCACCCAAAAACCCAGATTTAGCCCATTATTGTTGGGGGGAGGGGGGGGGGCAAAACCGTGCAATTTCCACCAAAAATAAAGGTCAGATTTGTTTAAAACACACCAAAATACACTGGCAGATCTAAATGTTTCAGTAGTTTATAACTATGTCCCAAAGTAAAATAAAACCTGGTTATGGTCCGAAACTTAACCTTTACCCCACAAAGGTTATGCAATGCGAGTCTATCTAGAACGTCACTGAGACACCACACGTAAAGCAATATTCTGATATGAGACCACCTACAGTATAATCGAGTATAGTAACCTAAACCATAAGCCGATCGGTTATAATAATGCGAGTCATAAGCTCAGGTGGCATAATTCCCCGTAACATGAACAACTTAAAGTCATAGTGAAGTAATCATCTGACTCGCGACCCGAGGCCTTGCAAGTTCCCCCTCACACAAATCGATTAATTTCTACCCGATTCAAATACCTTCTAAGTAATATACATACCTGGGCTGCGCTGCATAAACCCAGCACCGCACCCATACTTTTCGATTTTCAGTGTCGACTTCGATTTCGCTATAAAAAGGTCTTAAAGTAGAGAGGAGAAGCTGTCCACTTCCTTGACTCGACTGAGCTTTGTTGTGTCTGTGTTACACGCTTACCAACACACATACCCAACATGAAAAATCACTAAGACAATATTGACACAATAATATTATCATTAAATACTGTATTTTATTTTAAATATATTAATATTTAAACATTTTAAACAGATACATAAATAATGGATAGGATAAATAAAATGTTATCGTAAAATGATTCAATACTATTGGTATGCCGGAAGTGCTAACACTCTACGCATAAAACTAAATCCATCAAGATTGGAGTAGTGCGTGTTGGATAGTTACCACTGTTAATATATATATAATTTAATGTAGAAGGCTGTATATACAGTATATTAGCAGTCAAAGTGTGTAATCAGCCATTTAGCGTAATGACTATTCAACTTGTTATGTAAACAATCTTAATCTAATTTAACCTTGCAAAACCAATTGTATACTATCTTTAACCTTCCTGCGTTTGAGGACAGACGGTTAGCCACAGCACTGACCCACATTGTGTTCACAGGAGAGGGTATTAGAAATAAACTGTCCAGGCTAAAGGTCCACAAGAGTCCCGGCCCTGACATGGTGCATCCTTGAGTGCTAAGAGAGTTGTGCAACGAGCTTGCAGAGCCTCTGAAGATCCTGTTTTGTAAATGCCTGGATGAACAAAAGGTCCCCAGTGAATGGAAAGTGGCTTATGTGAGTCCTATCTTCAAGAAGGGCGATTTTTTTTGGGGGGGTACCCCCCTACATCCTTGTGTAAGGTGAAGCGCAGAAGCGTTTACAGCTCCCAACAAGGAAGCATGCGAAATTCATGCTTGCCTTTATGTCTCATGAGTTAAGGGCGTAGTATACTGCCAGATTCTGGGGTCACTAATTCTAAGGGGATAACTTAATTCTATTCTTACTTTTAAGGTCGCTGCCACCAGACCCCCTCTGGACAGTACATAGCTCGTTAGGTAGCGGGTAGAGTAAGCTAGGCATTGGGTTGGGTTTTTCATTGACCAAATCGATAGTGGGAAGAAAGGTGAAACAACAACCATGTCTTAACTAATTTATTCTTAATAAAACATATGGCATCCCGTCAGAATACAAGAAGAGTTGGCCTTCCTCAGAAGAACAACTGTGACTTATGTTATACTGCCCAACAACATTCGTCTTACATCAACTGTGTGTCAATTAACACCCATACTTCATAACAATCACTGACCTCCTTTCCTCGATATTCCTTCTTACAATGGCGCCCAACACAACAGACTGCTCCACCTGTTAGTAGAATATAGCACCCGAGGTTACAGTATAGCACCACATCACCACATTACAGCACTACATCACCACATTACAGCACCATATCATCACATTACAGCACCACGGTTACACTCCACACCTACAAGTATGGAACTCCTCGATATTTTTAGGTACACATACCAGGTACCTCGTTCGCACGCCACTCTTGGTGGGTAGAGAGGGGTTACTCCACAAGTAAACTATGCCAGTACTGTTTCTACGCCTGGTATTCTAGGTCGCTCCAAATGACGACCGCAAATCTTCTCAAACATACTATTATGTGCTTCTATTCCTGGGTGGTGATATGCTGGGAATCCACAGGTTCACAGTGGAGGAGCATAGCGGCGTACAGTCACCTCACATGGTGCGGCCTTCACAGTGTGATCATGTCTTACGCCCAGAAGGCGCTCAGAAGGCGTCCTGTGTTGGTGAAAAGGCGGGTTTCATTGAGAATAATGCCTGAGGGGCTTTCATCACCACACACTAGTACACTATGACTTCACTTTATAACATCAGGCAAGGTTTTAAGATGTAAAAACTGCTATTTAAGTCTTTTTAGGGCTGAATAAAGCACGATGAAGGGCACTGACCTGTGTTGGTGGAAAGGTGGGCGTCACTGAGGGCGCTGTCCCGCGGCTCTCACTGACTAGGCCTACAGTTTCCAATCTTTAATTTTCACTTTGATTTCTTTGGTTCGCACTTTCCTATTTATTGTGACCTTATGTCTTATAAATACATAACTCTGGTTTGACAGTTCCTGGGGAAATGAATTGGGCGATATCATTAACTCAAAACTGTAGTCCGGGTACAAGGGACGCTAACTCTGAAACAAAACCCGCGTGTCGAATGTTCATAGCGTGGGTATATCCACTTCACTTAAAACTGTAATTAAGGAACCTCCCCTCACATATTGCACTCATTGAACACAGTCATAAGATTTTCTGATCACTGTATAGTTTGTGGTATACGTCACACGAGATAACGAGGTGTATTTAGTTCACACCGATGCATACAAGATATTTCCTTTGAAGTATAGTGTAGGAATTCGTGGTATAATGTTGTCTAGCACTCAGGATGGATGGAAACTCTAAGGTGGTTTTCTTATATAATATAAGTTATATGATAGACAGTCTGGTGCTGGAGGTGCCGTGTGGTGAGGAGCTGCTCAGTAGAGACGTTCGGTGAGTAGCGTGTTGAAGGAGGTAGATGTGCAGGAGCTTCGTTAGAGAAGATGTTGCCTGTTGCTGGCCTCCTGGTTGACTGAATGCTGGACAGCGTGGAGCTTGCTGGAGGAGGTGTTGCGTGTTCAAGAAGAGAGACCAGAATGAATCTCGATACGATACGAAGTCTTTAGTTAAGAGGTGAAAGAAGATTATTAGGAGTTGAAGGAAAAGTGGTGAAACTGAAATACAGTAGGAGTAGAAAGAATCTGGGCTCAACCAGATCGCTTCATCTTTCTTATTGGTGTTTTGTCTTTGTTCTGCTCCCTTGGGTCGTCAGACCTTTGTATTAATATTGGTTTATTTATATAATGCTGCTTATTATTATTATTTTTATTATTGTTGGAGTTAGTGAGCCCGCCCAGGTCCTTGTGTAACTGGGAGGGTAGTCACATTTTTTTTTTTGAGGTGTTAGTTAAGTGTTAGTTGTGTTAGTCTAAGGGTACACTGTATGGAGAGGCCTGCCAGGTTCTTAGTGGAGCTGGTTGGTCACTCTCATCTTTATTCCTCTAGTAATGTTTTATGTAGAAATGTGTATATTGAGGCAGGAGGTGGTTCAATTACTTCTTCCTGGCTGATATAGCTGGGAGGGTAATCACATTATTATTATTAATATTATTAATTTTTTTTATTTTTTTTTATTTTTTTTTTGAATGAATGAATCTCAATGGAGAGACAGAGCTTATATACCCAGCAGCCGTGAGTCCTCTATGAGTCATGTTGGGAAAACCCAAGAAAGTCGCCGGTCTTTCGTTCCGTTGCTAGGGGAGGTGGTAACATCTGGTGACGCCGCTCGTTTGGTTGCTAGGATACTGTAGCATCGGAATGCGGATACGCAGTTGTAGGGGAGAAGTCCACTACAATAGTTTCTGGATCACTTCCAACACTTCACATAGGTCTGATACATTTATCCTTTTTCCAAATTAATGTTCTTTTATAGTTTCATCTGCTACTTGCGGTAGCTACATTCACTAATCGTTCACAGACGTCAATAGAATGACCTTCAAATACGATCTACACTTAGCCCTTATAGTACACTAGTCCGTATCGATTGGACTCTCCCAACCATCTTATAGATACCTTGAGTTCTCCTTAATGCTATGAGTACATACAGTACACTTAATATTTATAATCAACGACCTCACCAGCCAGGACTCGAACTCTCAACCTCCTAGGTGGGACTAGGGAACACTACCGACCAACCCACAAGGACACTAAAAGCAGTCCTAGACTCTGTTATATTTCACACAAAGCCTGTTCATCGAGCTGATGGCACCGTGAACCTCATTGGGAACTGCCCATGCTGCGTATGTGGTGTCAGTAGCGTTTTACCGAATCCAGCTGGTATGAAACACGAGGTACCATATATATACTTCATTTTTAGTCCATATAACACGCGGACTTTGAACATATAACAGAGTCTAGGACTGCTTTTAGTGTCCTTGTGGGTTGGTCGGTAGCATTCCCTAGTCCCACCCAGGAGGTCGAGGGTTCGAGTCCTGGCTGGTGAGGTCGTTGATTATATGTTCAAAGTCCGCGTGTTATATGGACTAAAAATGAAGTGTACACTTAATATTATATACCCTTACCTGGGTACAATTCAACAAATAATTCATTAACATTCCGTAGGTGAGTTATCCTTTCTCAACGTTTCCCGTTTTCTGAGAATCTACAAGCCCTGTGGATTTGAATGTTATGTAGCGTAATATGAATTAAATAGTTTTTAGGATGACAATGATGTGCACAGTGCAGTAAAAGCCTGAGGAGTCAAGGGCGTAGAAGCCTGAAGAGTGAATTGTTTATGTCTAAGCAAGTTATTGGAAGCTCCAACAACTTTCCCTGAATACGAATTTGCAACTTTCGATTTACAGCAGGTACCTACTTTGCTGCTAGGTGAACAGGGACCAAGGGAGGCTAGGAAGTGTGTCCAAACAACTTTCCACCGGCCCGGGAATCGAACCCGTGCATTTCGTTTGCGAGGCAAGAGCGGTACCTCTCTACCCACCGGCGCCCCCATAGAAGGCCGATCGTCACTCCACGAACAACTATAGACCGGTGAGCCTGACCAGCATAATAAGTAAAGTACTTGAGAGTATTATCAGAGATGCCGCTATGGAACATCTACTACGAAACGACCTTGTAAAGGATTACCAACACGGTTTTATGCCGGGCGCTCCTGCTTAATACAATTGCTCAAGGTATAGGATATTTGGACCCATATTCTGTAACGGGGTGGTAATATCGACAATATTTACCTAGATTTTGCCAAGGCTTTCGACAGTGTACCCCACGGAAGGCTGAAAATCAAACTGGAAGAGTACGGTATTCGGGGAAATGTCCTAGCGTGGATAGTAAACTTTCTATATGACCGCAAGCAGTGTGTGGTGATTAATGGCACGAAATCATCATCCGTACCTGTCACAAGCGGGGTACCACAGGGCAGTGTATTGGGCCCGCTGTTGTTTGTTTGTTTCATAAATGACATGCCTGACGTTGTACACTCATCTATACAAATGTTTGCCAATGACGCCAAGTTATTTCGG